ATGAGGCTCTGGGCAGGAGCTGCCCAGTTCCCCAGAGCTTCATGGTGCCAGCAGTGACAGCTCTGCTGTTGCCCAGGTGAAGCGCCGCTCTAAGCGGGGCCAGGTGGGCGTCGTGCAAGTCGGTGTGGAGACCTATGGAGGGGGCATCTGGAACACCTGGTTCGACCGTGACCTCACCGTGGCCGGGAGGGTGATCATCAAGGTGAGTCTGATTTAGGGCAAGCTGTGTGTTTCTGGCACTGGGTCGCTGCCCCCCACCCAGAGTGGGAGCTGCTGCAGCCTCTCAGCTCTGCAGGCCTGGTGCCAGAAGTCCTGCTTGTGTTTCAGGACCAAGCCACGGGGCGCCTGGAGCAGCGCCTGGTGCGTGTGGAGCGGCCCGTGCTCCGCATTCCTCACCTGGCCATCCACCTGCAGCGCAGCATCAACGAGAGCTTTGGGCCCAACACCGAGCACCACCTGTAAGGCCTGGCTCAGCCCCGACTCCTGGCCAGCCCTTGGGAGGGCTGAGACCCAGCTAGAGCAAAACCCCGCCTTAGCTCTCCCTTTGGCAGCCACTCATTGCAATGGGGAGATCTGCAGTGGCTTTTACCCCTTAGAGTCCTTCCAGGGAATGCTTCCAAGCATAGGATTTGGGAAAGGACACTGGGGTGTCCTGAGGTGGCACAAAAGATTTGTACTTAAAACGTGCATTCTTCCTCCATTTGGCATGTCAGTCATGCCCTGGAGGAGTAAGGCAAACACGCCAGGAAGGGTTGGAGTGTGTGACCCAAGCAGGTGAGGTGAGCAAAGTTCTGGGAGCTAATGTTGCTGACCCCCACAGGGTTCCCATTCTGGCCACTGCAGTGCAGGAGGAGCTGGAGAAGGAGGTGCTTATGGAGTCCACACCTTGTAGTGCTGCAGCCCAGGTGAGCTGTGTGCCAAGGATCAGCAGGAACATTTGCAACGACATCACACTTGTCACCTTTGATTTTGAGTCCTCAGGGACCTGCCACCAGGTTCCCCTTCTCCCTGTGGACTGCTGGTAACCTTCCACTCTGCCTCACAGCTGTGTGCCCGGCACATCTGTTCAGCCATCTCTCTCTTCTCACCCTTGCCTGCAGCCAGTGTGGAAGGGGTGCATCTCCCTGAGGAGGCAGGGCAGGGAGGGGGCTGGCACAGGGACATAGAGCTGTCCTGGCTGAGGTTGGGGCTTGAACATGGGAGATGTTAGTAGGAGAGAGGACTCTGCCAATATAAGCAGGGTCAGGGACAACTTTGCAAAGGGAAACCAGGAGTTTCTCCTGCCATCCACTGCCTGCCCTGCCCATAGCTCTGCTTTCTTCCCAGGCAGAGCGGCACAGCCCTGTTCTGCTTTCCCTGATCTGCCCCCAGCTGGGGGTGAAACCAGAGCAGATTGTGGAGCTGGAGCTATGCCTGGCAGATACGCAGCCAGCGGTGAGTAAGGGCAGGAACCTCCCTCCCTGCGCTCGGGCTGGCACTACACAGGTGGCACATGTCCTTTGCCTGGGGCGTGCCAGGGCTGGGAGCTGAGGGGAACTAGAGGGAGCTGCTCCTGAGGGGCAGAGATAAGGGTATTGGAATGGGAACCCAGTGGCAGGTACTTTTTGGTGACCCAGAGCTCGTGCCCTACTCCTCTTGGCTCTCTGCAGACGCTGGGTGGTGCCTTTGATGAGTTCATCTTCTCCCCACGTCTGGACAACCTGCACAGCTGCTACTGCGCCTTGCAGGTGAGAGGGGAAAGAACCTGGAGACTGCAGCGTGGCCCCCGTGCACCTCAGCTCAGCTTTGGGCTGGCCAAAGGCTCTGCAGGGAGTTGTGTCCTCATGGAATGGGTCTAGATTGTTGGAGGACCTGAGGTTGGATGCCCCCTTTGCTGGGTGTGTGGGATTCCCAGCAGCTCCCAGGGCTGACTCCTGCTGTCGCTGGACAATGTCCCTTCCTCCATGCTTTGGACTCTCCTGGGGGATTTCCTGATGGCTCAGTCCTGAGATTCCCAAGATGGAGAGGCACTCAGGCTGGTGTCCATTCCCCCCTAATCCTGCAGGCGTTGATTGACTCATGTGCAGCACCCTCGTCCCTCTCCCAGGAGCCCAATGTGCGTCTCATCGCGCTCTATGACAACGAGGAGGTGAGTGAGGGACTCAGCCATGGGGTAGCTGGCACCAGAAGGTGCTCCATGTTCTCTGCTCTTCCCCAGCCATGCCTAGCATTGGAGAGAGCATCCTAGCAGGAGAGAGATTCCACACCCCGGTGGAGGAAGCAGGGATTTGCTCACACCCACATGGAGCATGGCCCAGGCAGGGGTGGGAAGCACTGGTGTGGCAGGAAGCTGCTTTGCTGGCCTTGAGGAGCACCTGTCACTCCTCTGGCCCCTGTGGTGCTGCGGGGTTGTGCTGATGGTGTCCTTGGCAGGTAGGGTCAGAGAGTGCCCAGGGCGCAGAGTCCTTGCTAACGGAGCTGGTGCTGCGCCGGATCTCTGCGTCGCCACACAACCTGACAGCCTTCGAGGAGGCAGTGGCCAAGTCCTACATGATCAGTGCTGATATGGCCCACGCTGTGCATCCCAATTATGTGTGAGTAGTCTGAGCCATGCCTCAGGCCTGACAGCCTGCCCTGCCACCTGTGGGACATATCCCCATCACTCCCCAGGTAGTACAGACAGGACAGTCCCTGTTGCTGCAGGGAGGGAAGGCTGTAGTGTGAAACTCTTACTTCTCTTTTGCAGGGACAAGCATGAGGAGAATCATCGCCCAGCCTTCCACAAGGTGAGGGCAGCCCTCTGCTTGGGTATAGGATGGTTGCTGTCTGTCTGTCCTACAGCGCTGCAGCCCCGCATTCAAATTGAAAACGTTTGTCCTGCAATGGGATTTGACTATGCCACATGTCTGATGTTAATCACTTGGGATCCCAGTCTTGTCCATAGAACTCCTCCCTGCTCTGAGCTGGGGCTCTCTCCATGGAAACACTGTCCCCATCCCCATGGGCTCACCCAGGAAAGGGAGAATGGACTGATATGTTGGGGTGGCACGGCATTGCCTGGGTATGGGTGTTTCCAGGGCCATTGACTATTCCTGGATCCCATCATGGGCCTGCAGTGCCTTCCTTTGTGCAGGGCCCTGTCATCAAAGTGAACAGCAACCAGCGCTACGCCTCCACAGCTGTCACTGAAGCTGTAATCCGGGACATTGCTGCCCGCGTGGGTGTCCCTCTGCAGGTGAGCAGGGCTGGGTGAGTCCTTGAACATTAGGAGTTTGGGCTGCAGCCCTGCCCCTGGCTTCATCACAGGGGGCCTGTGCCAAAGCTCCACCCCTGTTACCACGTCTGACCCCGCTGGGGTCTCTGTGCTGCCTGTTGCTCTGGGGCTCCAGCTCCAGGACTGCCTCAGGGAGCAGGCTGGTGAACAGAATGGAGCCTGGCCTGAGTGTGTCCTACCTCTGGAGCACTCTTTGAGCCCTGGCGTGGGTCAGTGCTGCTTCCCTGCCCCAGGTCGCCTCCCTTCAGGGCTGAGGGCCCGTGTGGGAGGCCATGGGGTAGCATGTGGAGCTGCTGAGGTCTTGCCCCCGTGCAGGAGTTCATGGTGCGCAACGACACGCCCTGCGGCACCACCATCGGCCCCATTCTGGCCTCCCGCCTGGGGCTGCGTGTGCTGGACATCGGCTGCCCGCAGCTGGCCATGCATTCCATCCGGGAGATGTGCTGCACCTCGGGGGTGCTTCAGAGCATCACCCTCTTCAAGGTGAGCCCTGTGTCCCCCATCCCGTGCCAAAGCTCTCTCCCTGCTCCTCTCCATCTGCCACATCCCCATGTCCCTGTCCAATCGCTGCTTCGGGGCTGAACCCAGCCATCCCACAGAGCTCCCCAGCTCTCCAGGGCAGCTCAGGTACTGGCTGCTTCCGGAGGTGCCCCCTCATCCCAGCCTTCCCCAGTGGCTGCCATCCCTAAGTAGTTCCTATGGCAACCGGAGCTAGCCTTGAGTCAGTGATGGGTTACTATGGCGACGTGGTCCTGCTCTCTGCAAGTAGCTGCCTACTGTGACGCTGTGACAGGGAGCTGCTGCCTGCCCCCACTGCCTGTCCCCCGCCCCGCGCCGCCCCGCTCGGCCCCCCTGGCAGCCTCTCTTCTTACAGGGCTTCTTCGAGCTCCTGCCGACGGTCAGCAGCAGCCTGGTGGTCGACTGAACACGGCAGGGAGGGAGTAGCAGTGGGTTTAGTTCTGGGGCCATTAAAGCAATTCTGTCTCACCAGCGAGTGGTCCGTGGCTGTGGCTGGGGCTGATGTACTTGGCTCTCCCTGGGGACTGCATGGCTCCACCTGTGCTCTCCCATGGAAGTGTGAGCGACACCTATTCACCCATCCACAATCCCTTGTCGAGCTAAGGGGCCGAGCAGGGCTCGGCTCTTGCTCAGGGAGAGCTGGCGGGAGGATGTCCCGTCTCGTGCAGCGCTGGGGCCGCCCCTTTCCCCCGGGACGAGCCTGCCGTGTGCGCAGGGATCTGCCGGCGCCAGGCCTGAAGCTGTTCGCCGGGGCCGGGAAGGGGTCCCTGCCGGGGCCGGGGGCTGCCGCCTTCTGCCGGGGCCGGGAAGGGGTCCCTGCCGGGGCCGGGGACCGCCTTCTGCCGAGGCCGGGAAGGGGTCCCTGCCGGGGCCGGGGACCGCCTTCTGCCCGCGGCCGGTGCCCGGGCGGTGCCGCCGGGCGGGGCACGAGGGTGCGGCTCCGCGCTCGCCGCTCATTGGGCGGCTCCCAGGGGCGTGTCCCTCGCGGGAGCCAGTGCGGCCGCAGGGCTGGGAAGGGGCGAGCGCTGATTGGCGGGGGCGCTGCCGGCGCTGTGGCACACCCCCGGGGGGGCGGGACTCGCCCCCGGGGACGCTGCGATTGGCGCGGCTCTCGGCCGCCTCTCCGCGGAGCGAGGCGTGATTGGCCCCGCTGGACAGCGCGGGGCGGGGGCGCGGAGCGGAGGGCAGCCGCGCGGCTCTCTGATTGGCCGCGGCGCGGAGGGGCGGGGCGCGGCGGCAGCCGCGGCCGGCGGGTGCGCCATGGTGCGGCCGTGAGCAGAGCATGGGGCGGCGGCTCCTCCGGGCGCTCCTCTGCCTCCTCCTCCTGGCCGGCCGCGGGCAGCTGCGTGACGGCGTCGCCGCCGCCACCGCCGCACACGGTGAGACCGCGACCCCGGGCAGGGCGGCTTTGCCCCGGGCTGGCGAGGGCCGGAAGGAGATTGCCGGGGAGTGGCGGGGCGCGGGACTCCGCGGCCGGTGCGGTCGCCGCCGCTGTAGGGTGCTGTCACGGCGTGCAGCGGCGAGTCCGGACCCCGGCAGACGGCGGGACAGGGCGGCCTGGGACCGGCACCGCGGGTGCGCCGTTGGCACCGGCGGCGCCCCTCTCCCGGGGCCGCCGGGCCGGTGGATGTGCTAAACCCGCGGCACCCCGGCTGTAGAGGTACCGCCCCGCCGGGCCCGAGAGCCAGCAGCAACGGGACGGGAGCAGAACGGTGATGCCGTTCATGCCCGGGGCAAAGCCGGTGCCTGGGGCTGCCGCAGGGATGGGGAGCCCGGGCCAGCGGCCCTAAGCGTGGCTTCCTCCCAGACCATGCCGCCCTTTAGCCGCCCTCCGCCTGTAAGTGCGGCTCGCCCGGGCCCGCTCTGCTCCAGGTCGGTCCGTGTGACCCGTGCTTGGGGCTCTCGGGGACCCGAGTGTCGCTGTCGGTAGCGGGGCTGCAGCCCACGGCACGGCCCCGGCTCCGCTGACTCACTACGGGGCGCCCGAGGCTGCTGTGCCCCTCGTCCTCCAACAGCCCGGGATGGATCGGGCTGCACCGCGGGGCCGCGCTGCCCCCGGGAGCCAGCAGGGAATGGTGCCGCGGCCGAGCGCCGTCCCGGCCGGGGGAGCCTCCCCGCGCCGGGGCCGCCGCCCCTCCCGGCGGAGCGCCGCCCCGGCCCGGCCCCGCTGCCGCCCTCCCTGGGGTCTCCCCGGCGCTGGGGTCCTGTGCCCGCAGCTGCGGGGCCTCCGCCCCGGGGGACGCTGGCCCGAGGGTGCCGGGGTTTCGAGGACCCTCATCCCCAGTAGCCCCCTTCCCCCGCGGCGGGCTTGACGGGCCCCTCCCTCCCCTCCCCCCGGTTGTTTTCTCGTTCCTTCCTTGCCATCCGGGGCTGAGTCATCGCCTGCTGCCGTCTCGCTGCTGACGGTCTTGGACCGAAACGGGGGGGGAGAGGAAGGGGGAAGCCGCCCCCTGCCCAAGTGCTGCCCGCCGGAGGGGTTGGAGAGGTACACACCGCACACCCCCAACACCACTACATCCATGCTTTGGGGTCCGCCTCGCAGGGAGAGTGGATGCCGGTGTCCCTGGGTTGCATCCCTTCCTCGTAGTACCACATGTAGGAGGGCAGCAGATGTGGTTTTGCAGGTCTCTGCTGCCTCAGTCTTACCTTCCTAACTGCCAGCACCCCAAAAAACTCCAGGCCTTCCCCACTCTCCAGAGCCAAAGGCATACTTTCTACACGGCCCCCATCTTGTGTCTGAGGGGCAGGAAAGACTGGCACCGAGCCTCTGCCATGGGCTACAAAGCTGTGTCCCCTCCCACCATTACCACATTGCATCCCTGCGCTGCTTTTCTGGAGCGTAGGGATCCCCCAAGCAGCTGGTGATGAGCAGATTCCATTGGAGTCCCCCTTGAATGCTGTGCTGACCGGCCTGTCTGTCTGTCTGTCCCAGGCTGCCTGTTTGACCGAAGGCTGTGCTCCCCCCAGGAGGTGTGTGTGCAGGGTAAGTGGCTGGCAGGGGTGCAGGGATCCCCTCTCCCTTCCCAAGTGTGTGTGAGGGGTACAGGGGTGCCTTGCAGGGGAAGCTGGGGTGCAGTGCAAGGAGGGATGGCAGGAGAAAGGTGGGGCTGTGCCTGGAGATCTCACATCGAGGTGTTTGTTCATCCAGTCCCACTCCCTTCTCTTGCAGATGGGCTGTTTGGGCAATGCCAGGTGGGCTCCGTGCAGGACAGGCCCTACTTTCAGATCACATCTCCTGTGCTCCAGCGTCTGCAGGATGTCTTGCGGCATCTCATGGCACAAGGTGAGTGGGGAAGCATGGGGGAAGTCGCTGTGACCTGCAGGGAGGGGATGTCAGGTACAATTGCCTAGTGGCTCTAGAGCTGTCTGTGGTCCTGCTGGCCCAGGGTGGGCTGAGGAGGAGTGGGGCCAAACCCAGGCCATGGGACACGGGGTCAGAATATCAGGACGGCATGCCATGCACTCACACCATGGCTCCCAGGCTGCCTCCATGTCTCACAGCCTCCTCCCATGGCAGGGCTCTCGTGGCAGGATGGCATCACCCAGTATGTGATCTCTCAGGAGATGGAGCGCATCCCCCGCCTCCGCCTGCCACCCTCGCTGGAGCCGGTGCCCAGGGACAGGTAGGACAGCGCCAGCAGAGCTCGCTGGAGCAGCGAGGGCTTTGTCCCCCAAATGGGGTTTAGGGGAGGGACCTGCCCCCTTACCCAGGTGAGTTACCCCAGTGCTGTTTGCCTTCGAGGTTCCTGCCCCGGCGAGCCCCGCTAGCCCCAGACCCCGGCCTGCCAGCAGCTCAGCACTTGGAGCAGCCCCCAGCACTGCTGCTTTCCCCTCTGGTGCAGCGGTACCTGGAGCACGTCCTGCTGCCCTCCCCACCCCAGCTGGGCTACGAGGAGGCTCTGCTCCATCCCTACTCCTACCACAAGGTAAGCTGGGGGATGAGCGCCTTCTCCTGGGCAGAAAAGTAGATATTGGCAGGGAGCTGCTGCGCTCCCAGCACTCTCCTGCTGGTGCTGGGGTACCCCCTGCCTCCAGCATGGGGTGCCAGGGGACCTGTGGGTTTGACTTGTGTTTTGGTTGCAGTTCGGCTATCAGGATGGTGCTCACCAGCATCCCAGCGGCTCAGCCAGGCAGAGCTCTGAGACCTCCTCGCTGCTGGGCCGGGTCCCTGCCCAGACCCTTTTTGGGGCTGGCCCTGTGCCCTCCTATGGCGGGCAGCCAGGAGTGGATGGGGGGCATCTTTTCCAGGACTTGGGCATGCTTTCCCTGCCCAGAGAGAAAGCTGGCCGCCCGGACCCCGCCAGCACCAGGCTTCAGCACAGCCTGCGGCTCCCCAGTGACTACAGAAACATAGAGGAGAGGGAGCAGCAAGCACCCCTGGCTGCCCAGCCACCCTCTGCACAGACGGGTACCTTGTTCTCCAGCCAGGCACCAACCCTTGTCCCTATCCTGTGCCCACAGCCACGAGTTCCTCGTGGCTCACACTTTCCCTCCTCTTTGGGTTTATACCCATGGGCAGAATATACCCACAACCCCACCTGCTCCATCTGCTTCATCCCTGGCCCCTGGTCTCCCTGCAGATGCAGAGCATCCAACCTGATGCTACATCCTCTTGCAGATGCTGCCCTGAAGAGACTGGCTTCTCTCCTGGCCAGCTATGGCCTGGGGCTGCCAGAACTGAGTCCTCAGCAGATTAGCAGCCTCTCCACTCTCCTCCAGCTGCTCCAGAGCTCTGGTGAGCTGGGTGCAGGGATGGGACAAGCAGGGACTGGCAGCAGCAGATGCTAGCATGTCCTGTTTCAGGGTAGGGAGTGTTGCCTTTTGGGGTGGGTGCTGTAGGACCTTTGTCTCTCTCCTTTCCAGGTGTTGCTGGCCCTGAAGTGCCCACAGCGAAACGGGTGGGTTTGCAGCAGGGTGATGCTGGAGGAGGTGCCATGGCACAGGTGGGATGAGGGGGAGGAGACATTTCCCCAAGGCTCTCCTCAGAGATTCCAGCTTCTCCCTTTTCCTCCCTTCAGGTGATGGAGGGGGACATGCAGCATGGAGAGGAGCCAGTGCCCCCTTCTTCCACAGCGCCACCCCCCAAAATCCCAGCCAGCAGCTCCCCAGGGGACGGAACGAAGGGCAGGGCAGCATCCTCACCAGCTCCCCCGGCTGAGCCACAGCAGGGACACAGTGGGGATGCACCCAGCCCCGGAAAGAACATTGTGGTGGAGAAGAAGAGCTACACAGAGATGAAGGGCAGTGGGGCACAACAGGGCATGCGGCCACTAGACGAGTATGGCTACATCGTCACAGACCAGAAGTGAGAGCTGGGGGGCATGCAGGGGGGTCTGCACGTGTGAAGGGTCTGTATCCCCCCACCAACAGCTGTCACAGCTTCACATGCTTGACTGAACTTGTTGGGTCTCTGGTAGGGTCGGGTTTCTCTGGGGTCAACTCCCACTGATCCATTCTCTACCCACAGCCCTTGTTCCACCCCAAAGCCTTCCTTTCCCACACCAAGGCCAGAGCTCACTGTTGCAGGATGGAAGGCTGGGATTGTGTGTGCACAAATGTCTCTGTGCACACTTGTGTGCAAGGGGGGTCAGCTCATCCCCAGCACCACACATGGCCGCACTCTTACCTCCTGCCCAACCTGACACCTGCTCTTGCTGTGTGCTTGGGACTCCCTGAGCCTGCCTGTCCCTGCTCCCTGACTGTGGGGAGCACAGGGCCGACCCCTCACCCCTGCCACCCCCTCCTCACCCTGACACTGTCCCCACAGGCCCCTGGGGCTGGCTGCTGGTGTGCAGCTGCTGGAGCTCCTAGCCAAGCACCTCCACCTCTCCACCGCCAGCTTCATCAACATCAGGTGAGGGAACTGGTGCCATGGGGGCGGGAGGGACTGGGCTGTGGCGAGGGTGGGTAGGGGCTCTGCATTTCCAGGCCTCTCACTGTGTCCCCCCTGTCCCTGGCAGTGTTGTGGGTCCTGCACTGACCTTCCGCATCCGGCAGAACCCCCAGAACTTTTCACTGGCAGACGTGGCCAGCCAGACTGGTGAGTTGGGCAGCGTCCCCTGATCTTGTTCCTCTCCTCCCCTCCGGGCTGTGGGTGCAGGGACCAGGAAGAGAGGGCTCCTACTGTACATCCCCCTGCCTTTGGCTGGAGTGGGTGGCTGTCAGAGCTGTCCCTTGGCTCTGTTTCTGGGGGGCTCTTGTGTGGAGGGAAGCATGCCTCTGATCATCTCTCCCTGTCCACAGAACAAGTGAAGGGAGAGCTGGAGCACGAGCTGGGCCTGAAGATTGTGCAAACAGGAGTGGGAGAGGTAGGAGTGAGCAAGGATTCCGTCCCTTGGGGCTGGGGTGGTCAGGGATAGGGGAGTGGGGATGCTGCCACTGGGTACATGCCAGGAGCCCCCAGCCCTGGGGTACAAGGACCTTTGTGAGTGAGCTGTCCCTGCAGGTCTGTGGGGCAGCTGGAGAGTAGAGGAGACTGGGCAGTGTTTGGGATGCTGTGCTGGAGATAGACTCCAGTCCTGTGCAGGAGGACTCCTGTTGGAGACTGCTCCAGTCCTGTGTGTCCATCATCCCCCTCCACTGCCTGGCAGCACAATCCTGCCCAGGGCTCTTGGCTCTTTTAAAAACAAAATCTCCACAGTGTTTGAAGGTGGTTTGAGAGGGATTCCCAGAGGCTTTTCTTCCCCCCAAGACCAGGGGGCTGCAGGCTGTATCCCTCAAGGCTCATCCTCACCCTTGCCTCCCTCCAGCCTGCACACCCATCTTGGCTGTGGCCAGGGCACCCGAGCACTGGGATGTTCCCAGAGCACCCCACAAACCATAGCTAGGCAGGCAAAATGCCATCATATCCCCAGAGAATGGCAGAGCAGCTGGAGGCAGGGATGGAACAGCAACCATCTGTTTGGAGAGGGGCTGCCCCTCCCCATGCTCCTCTGGGGAGCCACAGGAGCAGTCTCCTGGGGCAGGGAACAGGGGCTGGAGATAGGGACCAAGCCTGGCTCCCGTGTTTGCAGCCTGAGGAGGAAACATGGTGTAGCACATCCCTAGCCCAGTGTCCCCATTTCTCACTTCTTGTCATGTGGCTGTAGTTGTGAGCAGGGAGGAAGGAAGGAACTTGGGAGGAGGCCATGAAGAAGGGCCACTGAGGCAACCTGTGTCTATCAGCAGTATGCAGAGTGTGTCTATGGCAATGCCTTTTGATGAGGCAGGTGGCAGGAGCTGGGGTAGATGTCAGAGAGGACAAAGATGGAGCTCAGAGGAAGCTTTGCAAGCCCCCTGCTGCACTGACCTTCCCAGTTCCAACCAGCTTGTGCTTTTCCTTCATTCCCTCCCTGCTCTGGACTTGGTGGGACTGGTGTAAGATTTGAGGAAGAGGCATGTAGGGAGCAGGGAGACAGCAGGGCCTGGGCAGGCCTTGGGAGAGAAATCCCTTCTGGCTCTGCTGACACCTCCAGGGGCTGCAGGGCTGCTCCTGCTTGGGTGCCCCGGGGAGCTGGGAGGTGCTGAGCCTGGTGGGTGCCCTGGCTGCAGGACTGGCTGGACCCTGATGGCAGTCGGGTGCTGGGAGGCAGCTGGCAGCAGGGACACCCAGGCTGGGGACATCCCCAGGCGATGACGATGATGATGATGTAGTTGATGATGGTTCAGTGTTCCCTCGGTAACCTCATCAGGCTCATAGCCAATGGGAGGCTGTGGCAGTGAGGTAATGCAGGGCTCTGGCAGCTCATTGGGCACAGGATGTTTGAACTGGTGATGCCCCAGTATCCCTGTGATGCCCTAGCTGGACCTAGGCAGTCATGGCGTTGACAGGAAGGTCTTGTCCAGCAAGGCCTGAGCAACATCCTGTGCCAGCATGGGACTGGAATGGATTGGGGTGTCTCCCACAATCACAGGGAAGGAGCCCTAGAGACACGTCCTGCAAGGTGGCAGGGGCTGCTCTGTGTCCTAACTGAGGAGGGCAACAGGGAGGACTTGTCCCCTAGCTGCTACAGCTGGGACAGTACCAGCAGTGCTGGCATATTGCCCAGCCTGCCTCCCTCAGTGTTCTGCTGTGGAGCAGTGGCTGCAGGGGAGAGCCAGCCTCAGCTGGGAAAGTCCCCTGGGAGTGGCACACCCAGTGCTGCAGTTGCCTATCCTGCACCATTAATCCCTTGGGCTGAATTCAGCCCTTGTTGATCTCCAGCTGGGCAGAAGGAGGTCGTAGAAGCAGAGTTCTAAGGGGCTACCGCCTGCCTTGTAGAAGGGCAGTCCAGGCTGGGTTTGCCTCAGGCAGCAGCCCTGAGTGCTGGAAGCAGGAATTCACAGCTACCCAGGCTTGGCCAAGCTCCCCCAGCTCCAGGGACACCATTGTAGCAGGTGACAGACAGGTGGGTGCACTCTGCCTCACCCCAGTGACACCAGCTCTGCCCCAGCTGAGGCTGCTGGGAGAATCAGCACCCTCAGGAAGGGGAAGGAAGAGCCCTTGCTCTGTTTGAACCCCCAGCAACCCCAAATGTGCAGCAGAATAGGGTCTCTGCCCCCCGGCCCCATGCTAGCTAACCCTTGCTTGGCTTGGTCCCCAGCGAAATGAGGCTGCTGCCTACTCACGCCCGTCCCGCTTCGGGGACGGCTTCCACTCGGTGCTGCTGACCTTCATCGCCCTGGCCTGCGTGGCCGTCATCGCCATCGCCGTGTCTGCGGCCCTCTGCCTCCGGCGGCACGCCAAGCAGCGGGAGAAGGAGCGCCTGGCTGCCCTGGGGCCTGAGGGCGCTGCTGACACCACCTTCGAGTACCAGGTAGGGCCCCGCGGGACGTGGCACCCCGCAGGATGCGTCGCTGCCGCGTGCCAGCGTCGCTCGGGGCGCACGGAGACGCCCTATGGTGGCGCGGTGGCCGAGGGATGGGCTCTGCTGGCCTTCCCCAGGAGCTGTGCCGCCAGCACATGGCCGCCAAGTCTCTCTTTGGCCGCGCTGACACACCGGCGGCACCAGCGGAGACTTCGAGGGTCAGCAGCGTCTCGTCCCAGTTCAGCGACGCGCCGCAGCCCAGCCCCAGCTCCCACAGCAGCACTCCCTCCTGGTGCGAGGAGCCCGTCCAGTCCAACATGGACATCTCCACCGGACACATGATCCTGGTGAGCCAGCCTGGGGGAGGGCTGCCAGCCCCCTCCCCAGCCCTGCATCTGCCCCTCTGCTGCTGGGCTGACTGCCGCCCCTCTGCCCCAGGCCTACATGGAGGACCACCTCCGCAACCGGGACCGGCTGGCCAAGGAGTGGCAGGCGCTCTGTGCCTACCAGGCTGAGCCCAGCATCTGCTCCATTGCCCAGAGTGAAGCCAACCTGAAGAAGAACCGCAACCCTGACTATGTGCCCTGTGAGCATCCCAGCCACCCTGCCCCAGGGATCAGCCTCAGGGACCAGCTGTCCTGCTAGAGCAGGGTGTGGGGCGTGGGGATGCCCAGGGCCATGACTGGTCGCAGCATTAATGTGCCTGCAGCTCCTCTGGCCACTCACCAAGTCTCCTGGCCTGTTTCCCCAGATGATCACGTGCGGATCAAGCTGAAAGCAGAGAGCAACCCATCCCGCAGTGACTTCATCAATGCCAGTCCAATCGTGAGTGATCACTGGGGGCTCCTGCCCTGCCACCCTGCTCCTTGATGTGCCCAGCCCAGGTGAGGTTTTCACTCTGGGATGGAGCTGGACTGAAGTTACATCCCTCAGGGCTACAGATGTGAGCTTTGTGCCTGCCCCATTCCTCAAGCAATTGTTAAATCCCATTTTCATCCTGGCTGGGGCACCTGAATCTCCCTTCCAACCTTCCTATCACCCCTGGAGTATCCCCCTAGTCCTTCAAGTGTCACCAACCCCTGGCCGAAGAGCGTGAATCTGATACCCCTTTCCTGCTCCAGATTGAGCATGACCCACGGATGCCAGCGTACATTGCCACGCAGGGGCCGCTGTCCCACACTATTGCTGACTTCTGGCAGGTGAGTGTCACGCAGCTGTGCCAGCGCATTGGGGTCCCTTTGTGTGCTGCCCACAAATGGGTCGCAGGGGCTTTACTGCCCTCCCACCTGGGCTGTCCCCCAGCAGTGAAGCCCCCCTTGCCTTGCCCGCAGATGGTGTGGGAACATGGCTGCACTGTCATTGTCATGCTGAGCCCCCTGGCCGAGGACAGTGTCAAGCAGTGTGACCGCTACTGGCCAGATGAAGGCTCCTCTCTTTACCACATTTATGAGGCAAGTGTGGCAGGTGGCCTGGGGCATGCAGCACCCTCCAGCCCCTGTCCCCCGAGCATCAGTGCAGCACTGACCTGGCACTGGTGCCCACAGTCTGCCTCACTTGGGCAGGTGAACCTGGTGTCAGAACACATCTGGTGCGAGGATTTCCTGGTGCGCAGCTTCTACCTGAAAAATGTGCAGTCGCAGGAGACCCGCACCCTGACGCAGTTCCACTTCCTCAGCTGGCCTGCCGAGGGCATCCCCACCACCACCCGGCCCCTCCTCGACTTCCGCAGGTGAGTGCCCACCTGGCACCGTGCCAGCCCTTGGGGAGCCAGCGGTGATCCCAAATGCAGGTCGCTGATGGGTGAGGTGAGGACATTGCTGCCACGGTGATGAGGGTTGGGACCATGGCATGGACCAGGTGCAGGGACTAGGAGCTGCCATGGATGGGAGGGAGCAGAAAATACAGGTTTTGGCCAACTTGAGATGAGGCTCAAGAGAGTTTGGTGGGCAAGAAACCTCTGGCTGACATTGCCAGGGCTCTCCAGCCTTCACAGTGAAGGTGGAAAAAATGCTCTTCCCCTGAGCTGGCATGGAAGGCAGCATTGACTGGCACCTTGCCCAGCCATGGGTGCAAGAAGAAATTCCCAGAGCCAGCCTTAAACTGGCTGTGACCCATTGCTCCCAATGCCCTATAGCCAGTGTGGATCCCCAGCTAGCCCAGGGCAAGAGTGGCAGGACTGGGACTGCTCCCAGGAGACTTGCCTGCCCAGGTCTTTAAGTCCCTGGAGGTGGTGGGCTCTTGCCAGGCACAGGCTGCTCACTGTCCCTGGGTTGTGTGGGGCAAGGGACCCAGCCTAGGGCAGCGGGGGGGTCTCTGAGCATGTTGCCCTCCTCTCAGTCCCGCTCACGCTCTCTCTCTCTCTGTCTGTCTCTGTCTCTCTCTCGCAGCTGCCGGCGTCATTTTTGTGATTTGCAGCTAGTAATCTGGCTCCAGTTGCATAGTCACAAAAGTGATCGTTGGCAGCCGTGCCTGCTGCATGGAGCATGCCAGGAGCCCCACCGGCGCCTGGCCCCCAGCTTCACGCCCCACCGGACCAGAGCCGCTCCCTGGGGGTCCTGCCACTGCTCCCCTCCCCAGGCTGGGCACCTGAGGAACTGAACTCCTTTCCCTGCCCTGGCCACTTTCCACTCGTGGTCCCCATCCCATGTCCAGCACCATTGTGGAGGCAGGAGGAGCCATGAGCGGGACCCCCAGGGCCACATCATGGTGTGCTGCTGCCCTGCCCCACTGAGCACAGCAAGGGACACCTAGCACAGCCTTGACCCTGGCACAGCAGGGCACTGATCTGTTCCCTCTTATCCTTGCAGGAAGGTGAACAAGTGCTACCGGGGTCGCTCCTGCCCTATTATCGTGCACTGCAGGTACTGCGGGGGATGGAGGGGCATTTGGGCCTGAGGGTGACTGAAGAGGGGGACCTGCTGTCCGGGCCCAGTCCCATTGGAAGCAGCTCCCCTGGACCAAGCATCTGTGTTTTGCAGTGATGGTGCAGGCAGGACTGGAACATACATCCTTGTCGACATGGTCCTGAACCGAATGGCCAAAGGTAGGTGCAGGGAGGCACCATTTCTGCCCTGTCCGTGAGCTTGGCCTGTGAGCTCCCCTCCTAGCAGCCCTCTCTCCCTCTGCCCCAGGGGTGAAGGAGATAGACATAGCTGCTACGCTGGAGCATATCCGAGATCAGCGGCCTGGTATGGTGCAGACCAAGGTACGCCCCAAACTGGGGATCTCTCCCTCCACAGGAGCATACACAACCCCTGGGGCTGAGGTGGCAGGGACTCACACCTCCTGCTGTGCTCCTGCAGGACCAGTTTGAGTTTGCACTGACGGCTGTGGCCGAGGAAGTGAACGCCATCCTGAAGGCACTGCCGCAGTGATGGCAAGGAGCCCTCCCTGCCCCTCGTGTCTGCTCCCAGCCCTGCGCTTCGCACTCTCCTCACCGGCCTCTGGGGCTGCTCTCCCTGTGAAATGGTGTCTGTGCTTCTGGTTCTGCTCCCCTGCCCCCAGGCGCCCCTTCCCATCTCCCCAAGGACACTGACCTCAGGCTCTCTGTGTGCAGGAACCCCATCACACCCACTGTCACCTCAGAGGGGACAGGACTTGTGGCCCTTAAGCCCTGTGGAGAGGGACACCAGGTGGTGCTGCTGGGAACTGGCAGGGGGACTCCCCAACCTGTCAGTTCTGTGTTAGCCCTCTTCCTGTACCCATGTGGGGGGCAGAAGTGGGGGCAGGGGTCCTCCACAGTTAGGGGGAGCATGGGGTGCAGGGGAGCCTGGCCCAGCCCCACTCCAGGTCCCCTTTGTGTGCTCCCTGCCTAGTCACTCAAGCAGAAGAAAAATTTCTAGAGAACTATAATTTTGTATCTTGATGTGAATAAAGTTCTTGTGTCAGGTTCGTGCAGCTGCAGCCAGGCCTGGCCTCTGACTGTGTGTACTGGGACGGCACAGGGAGGAAATGTGGTGTTTGTCCATCTCTATCCCTGCACTCTGCAACTACCAGACAAGTAGGGCTCACGTGCAGGCAAAGATGAGAACCCTGCATCCCCAGCCAGAAAGTCCCCACAGGCAGAAGCTACTGCAAACAGGTTTATTGACAGCTGTTAGCAGAAGGGAGGTAGAGAGGGGGGGCTACAGCGAGGAGGGGGGCAGAGCCCAGCCCTGCTGGCTGAGCCCAGCCATGCTGCCCCTCGCTGCATACAGCCAGCAGCCTAATCTACAGCAACCCCCATCACCACCCTCTCCACCACCCTGTGGTGCCCAGGGCCTCTCCCCCCAGCCCCAGGCGTTGCTCGGCCACAAGCCCTGTCATGCCCCCCCTCACCGCATCCCACGGAGCCAGAGGGTGCTGGGGAAGGGGGTGGCAGGGGGTGGCCGTGCAGGGAGAAAGCGGAGTCCTGGCTGGGAGAACCTTCGTGGGCGAGTGGGCGTGCGCGGTCCCCGGGCGCAGCAGCCTCAGAACACACCTGGGGAGACAAGCGGAGGGGGGTACACAACAGCACCTGTGAAATCCTCCTCGGCCAAGGGCTGGGGAGAGGCAGGGATGGAAGGAGGAAAGTCCCAGGCAGAGGAGGAAGACAGCCAAGGCAGAACTACGGGCAATGAAGAGAGTAGGAACAGTTGTGAACATCACGGAGGGTCACTGCTGCTGTGGGAAGCAAGGGGGGACAGTGCCCTGGAGGGTGTGCAAGGCGTACGGAAGGGAGTGACCAGGCAGAGTCTGCAAGGAGACAGAGGAGGGAGTACAGGCAGGAGCAACAGCATCCAGAGGGATAAGACAAGACACAAGGCACCAAGCAGAGGCTATTTGCACAGCCCTCCTTGCAAGGAGGGGAGCTCAACTCGGCACTCCCTGCAGCCTGGGCAAGGGCAGGCTGCAGCCAGGGAGGCACCTGCTGGAGACCCTGCCACCTGGAGGGCTGGCAGGGAGAGAGGGGCAGGCACAACCAGAGCATGTCTGCCCACAGGCCCCCCACGCTTCCAGCAGCTAGGGCAGGGAGCTGCCCCTCTTCCTGGGACCCCATCAAGGGGGCTCCTCTTCAAGCCACTACCTCCAAGTCTGGGAGCCTCCAACGCTGGGATGCCACTAGCCATCCGCTCACCTGAGCAAGGAGGCAGGGCAGAAGACACCCCCCTCCCTTGCTAGGGGAGGCAGGAGCTGAGTTCCAAGCAGTGAGACTCCAGCCCTGCTTTCCTCTCCCTGGCCCACGCTCAGAGAAGGGGGCAGTGCCACAGCTTCACTTTGGGGGCAGGTTCGTGCCCCTCTGTAGCAGAACTGCTGGCCCCCAGTGGCTCCTGCTCCTGCCTCCCCCGGGCACCACGGGCTCTGCGGGTGGAGGACGGGCTGCTGTGGCTGCCCCCCGCTGCCGACAGGGAGCCGGGGCTGTGCCCACCTGCTTGGTGGTGCCCCGCAGCTTCCATCTCAGAGAGGCTGTAGGCCATGGCCAGCTGCAAGTCCTCATCCTCATCCTCGCTATCCGTGTAGAGGCAGACAGGTGAGGAGCTGGAGGTGTGGTGTGGGGCCGGTGCTGGTGGGGAGGGGGGCCGTGGCCTGGGGAAGACTTGCTGCTCCCGCCGGCTCAGCTCCAGCCCCAGCGCCATGTCATCAGGAACACCTGTGGGGACAGGGGCAGGCGTCCACTCCAGCTCCCCAAAGCTGGTGTGGGGCCCTGGCACCTCCAGCCCACCCCACCAATCCTTCAGAGCAGACGCAGAGCTCCAAACCAGGGCAGCCCTGGTCCAAAACAAAGTCTGGATGCAGCATCTCCCAGACACCCCAAACGGAAAGGACACAGATCTCAACACCTCAGTCTGCAGTGCCCCTTCTCACCATCGATGTGGATCGACTTCAGCTCCCCATCCTCCTCCACTTCCACCCGTTCCCGCCCGTTCTCAACAATCCTGCAGACAGACAAACAAACAGATGGTCAAGGGCCATGCAGCCAGTGCCCCACAGCAGGAAGCTGCAGGGTCAGAGCCTGCTGATGGAGGGAAGTCAGTGGGAGCAAGGCGGGCTGGCAGTGCCCTCACCTCTTGGTGGTGATGCGCCTGCCGTTAACAAAGGTGGTGGAGGTGGAAACAGAGCGGAAGCCCAGTCCTCCATCTGCTCCAGAGCTGAAGGATGAGGCGAAGAAATCTAGAGAAGGGACCAACAAGGTTGGTGCCAGGGTGGGTGGCAAGAGGGCAGGAGACAGACTCTGCACAGGGGAACATGGTGCGCTAGGACTCCCCTGTTGGGAGGAATGGCAGCATCTCCTACCTGAGGATCCTGGGAAGGGGGAAAAGAAGTGGCCTCCCCCATGGTGCCGGGGGCCAGGTCCTCGCAGCTCAGAGAAGGGCATCATGTCATCTGAAAGGCAGGGCCCCCCATCACCATTACCCCATCAGCTTGGTGAACCAGAAACAGGGCACTGATGTGGGGACCCTCTGCCAGGGCCAGCCATGAGCTCTATCCCCAAGATCAGCAGCTGCCCCACAGACAGAGAGATGCCCAAGAGCCAGCCTCCCCTGCCCCACACGCACCAAAGAACTCAGCAAAGGGGTCTCGTCCACCAAAGAACTCCCGGAAGACGTCGTGAGCGCTGCGGAAGGTGAAGGTGAATTCGGGAGCCCCAGCACTGGCCCTGGAGCCACCTGGTCCTGCTGGAGGGAAGACACTCAGTGTTAAATGGAGCCCTGTGACATCTCCCCTAAAGGGTGGGGAGCCCTGGTGGCACTGACCCACCCTGGGTTTTCAGACAGGGATGTATCCAGAGCTGCACTAACCCCACGGCCCTGCTCACCTGCTCCCATGAGTCCATCCTTGCCATAGCGGTCGTAGATGTCACGCTTCTGCTCTGGAAGAAGAAAGGAGGCTGCCAGCTGGGGACAGGAGCACTGACACTTCTCCCAACTAAGGGAGGTGCAGAACAGCAGGGAGCAAGAGGAGGTGGTTGGCACAAAACGCTGCCACCCCAGCACTGAACCCAAACCCAAGTAAGACCACTGGGCAAGAATGCAAAAGCTTCAGGCCCACTGGGGAGAGCCCATTGTGGATGTCAACAGCTCAGCATCTCTTCCCAAGGGCTGTTTTGGGAGACATGAGGAAGTAACCAAGCCCCAGAGGCTGTGTGGTAAAGCTGCAGGGACTCACTGCCTCCTGGGGACAGCCAGGGATGCAACCTGGGTGAGCCCAGAAGCAGGACATCCCAGTGTGAACAGTCCCAAGGGTGGACACACACACACACAAGACATCACTGTGGCCTCTTACTGTCCGACAGCACTTCGTACGCCTCAGCAATCTCCTTGAACCTCTGTTCAGCATACTCCTTGTTGTCTGGGTTTTTATCCGGGTGCCATTTCAGCGCAGCCTTCCTGTACCTGCACAGAGGGGCAGTGATGGGCACACAGCAACTCCCACCCGAGCATGCAGCTCCCAGCCTGTGGGCAGGGGCACCCCAAGCCCGCTTCACCCAGCACCCTACAGCCTCAGGCACTGAACTGGAGCTCCTGGACTAGTTCTTCCTTTCAAGAGTATGTGTTTTCATAAATAAATATACACACACACACATATATACAGATATATACATATTTATGCATACACACAGACTAAACAAACAAAACAGAAATTACTCCAGAACTGGAGCACAACCACAGCAGGGCAATGTGTGCCCACCTCAGCTGCCCTCATCAATGGCTCTGGACAATGCTCACGGGTTTGTTCTGGAGCCTTCATGGGCTCCACTGTGAGTGTGAATGTACCAGGGGTTCCTAGGGGCCCCCTGGGGCCAGGAGAGCACCAGCAGCCCCCTCCTCCCCACTGCAGCTAGCTAGGGTTAACCCATGCTTCTCAGCTTTACGCACTCCCTCTTGGGAAGCCCCTCACAGGGACCTCTGCCACCTGTTGGCAAGCCAGCAATCTGCTGGCATTCCCCTCAGGCAATGCCTCACCCCTGTGACAGCAGCAGCACCTGGGCAGGGCACCAGGCAGGAGTTGCAGAGACTCAGGAGGCTCTGTCAGCACCCCATTAGTACCGAGGCACAGCACTCACCTGCCCACAGGGCCCACATCCCTAAAACAAGACACGCTGTTTTTCACTCCAGCCCCCTGACTTTGATGCCAGCAGAGTGCCTGTGCCCCAACCATGTGCCATCCCTGCACCCTCTGGCAGAGAGAGAGAGGGGAGCCTCCAAACACCAGCAAGACTTGCCTCCAGCCCCAGGCCGACAGCAGGGAGAAAGGAACCAAACCCCACCAAAAGATGCCTTTGTATGGCAGCAAAGCCCAACCCCGCTCTAGCATCCATACAAAGGAAACAAAGCCTGAATTGTCACCTCTGGAGCTGGGCCCTGTCCCCAAGGCCCCGAAAGGAGCCCCTGCCTCGCTGGCACCAGGTGGGGGTGGCTCGGGGAACTCTGCCCCACAGGCAGAGGCACGCTGCCATACACTTACGCCTTCTTGATGTCCTCAGCGGTGGCGTTGCGGCTCACCCCCAGCGCTTCGTAGTAGTCGACCATGACGCGAGCTGTCCCACGGGGTCACTGCAGGGGGAGAAGGCAAAGTCAGGGCTCCACAGGCACAGCCTGGTACTGCTGGGTGTGGGACAGCAAGGGCAGGCTGCTCACCCTCTCTAGCGCCCCGGCCACCCCACTGCCTCCCGAGAGCAACCCAGTGCCACGCCGTGCCCAGCTCCCCAGCACCCTGCCCGCTCCTCGGCCACCCGGGAGCACCGACAGCCCCAGCCGGGGGACCCTTTGCTGCTGCCGTGTCACCCGGCTTGCCCAGGCAGGGGGAAGGGGTCCCCGCTTCCGCGGGGCTCAGTGGCGGGGCCGGGGGCAGCGGCGGGCGCAGCGCGCTAAGGCGCTTAGCGGCTGCAGCATATTAAGGGCTCAGCGGGGACCGTCCCCATCCCCGGGCACGCCGGGACGCTTCCACCGGCCGACCCGCTCCAGGCGGGGAGAATGCGGTCGCTGCAGCCCCCCGCGACCCCCCGGGGCACCGTCCCGCCCCCGGGGCACCGTCCCGGCCCCGGTACTCGCCCCCGGCCCGCGGGTCCCAGCTGACGGGAGGGCGGCGCTGGCGCTGGCACCGGCACGGCCGCGGCACTGCTGGCACCGCCCCCCGGCCCGGCCGTAAACACGGCGCTGCCGGGGCCACCCGCCCGGGGTGGAAATTTCCCCCCCCCCCCCCCGCCGCTCCGGGCGGGCGGCCCTGGGCTGCGGCCAGCGGATCTGGGGCACCGGGAGGGGCGGCGGCGGCAGCGCGGCCAGGGACAGCGCGGGCCCCGCTCCCCCCCTGCCGTCACGCCCTCGCCGTTCGCCGGGTGACGTCAGGGGAGGCGCGTGAGGCGGCGGCGCGGCCGCTCCGCCGGTGGCCCCGCTCGGCCCGGGCTCTCCTCACGCCCGTCTCGGCCCCGCCCGGCTCTCCGCTCCCCGGGCAGCGCCAGCAAGGCGCGGGTGCGGCGGCACCGGCCCGGCCCGCTGGTGCCGGTGCTGACAGCGCAGCGCGGCGGGGCACGGCTGCAGCCCCGGGCAGCCCCGGCGCCGCTGGCCGCCCGCCGAGTCAGCTGCCCGGCCGGTCCCGCCGGGAAGGAGGAGCCGGCCGGGGGGGGCGGCTGAGGTGACTCAGCGCTTTGTCGGGGCGGGGAACGTGACGGGGAGCAGCTCGGCAGAGCCCTGCCGGGGGCCCGGGCCGCCTGGCACCGCTGTGGCACCGGGAGCTGCGCCACCACAGCACCAGGGTGCCCGGGCCCCCGGGAATGCACCGGGACTTGTTGACTTCTCTGGCTCATGGCCCTGCCTGGACAGCTGGTGCAGCGGGGCTGTGCTCACCCATTCTCAGGCCCTGGGCAGTCTGGCTCACCCGCACCTCCGAGTGTGCCCTCGCCACGGAGATTTGTGATTCCCTCCTGCGGCCTGGATGGGAGAAGGAGGGAGCTTGATCTCTGTGCAGGGTCAGAGCTTTGTGGATGCACTGCCACACTACAGCACAGCTGGAAGCTTCCTCACCTCCCTCAAATCCCTGGCTGGGAAGCTTGGCAGAATGAGGAGGCCTGAGTCTGAGACAGGCCATTCCCAGCACTCCTCAGGGACAAGTTCCAGGACAGATATCCCCGAGAAGAGCCTTCCCCAGCCATGAGTACTGCGCCTGGGGCGGAGGAATGCCAAGGGCATCATCTCATGTGCCAAAGGCATTTCTCTCCCCAGGGGATGGGAGACCATCAGTCACAACCTGATGATTTCCTTGAACAACGGCTTGGAGTCCTTCCTGCCCCTGGGGATTTTTTTCCCTGGATGCCACTGCAGCACTGTCCTCCTGTCCGTGTTTGCCCACGAGCAGGGAGGGGCTCCCTGCCTGTATCCCGGGCGCTCTCCCGGCTGCCGGGCTCTGGTTCGGCCCATCTGCCCTGCACAGCCGGCCTGGGCACTAGATGGAGCCACAGGCTGCTTCACAGGCAGCTCCACAGGCTGGCTGGGAGTCTGGAGCCGGGAGAGCACGCCGATGCCTTCATGGCAACAGTTTCCCTCACACCTTGAGATCGGGATATGCACTGAGGCGGACTGACACATCCCCAATATTCTTAGGGAGGCGGCGGAGAGTTGGGCAGTAGCCAACCACAGCACTGGTAGGAGAGAAGATGTGTATCAGCCACACCTCATCCCAGAGTTTCCACAGTCACTCTTCTACTCAAAGCTGGCAGCAGCCCACCACCCACTGGTGCCTCGCACCTTCAGCTGCAGCACCTGCCCTCTTCACCTGCCCTTTCCTCCTGGGTCTGAAGTCCTGGTGCTCACATCAGCTTCAAATCAAGCACAGGCATCTTGAGTGTATCTCAAGACCCTTATTTCTTAGCAAATTTTGGGGATCGCTCTGTTGCAAGCTTGTTTTCAGCTTTCCAGGATCTCAAAAATGCTCATGGAATACTCTTGAGGCTTTCTGAGGAAAGATGTTTTGGGTGAGCAAAGCAGGACGCCAACGGACCAAATATTTTTATCCTGGTTACCCAATCTCTCAGGAAGCCAACAGAATTGCATCATAAACCCATGATATATTATTATGCAAACCACAAATTAAGCTATATTTTATTTTTCAGCACTGCACAACATTTCAGCTTTTGATTTCCACATGAAAACACAAGCCCTTTCACAGCCTTAACAAAACTGGCAATTATGTACTGAAAAATTGTATTCTTGGCAATTTTTAAGCTAAGAAGTGCTCAGCGAGTCGTGTGCCTGCTGCTCCCCTCATCACATGCAGCCGACTTCCTTCCTCTTCTCCCCATTCCCAAGGGAAGGTCCCCATTCCTTGCAGTGGAGCTGCAGCAGGGAAGGAGCAGGAGCCAAAGCCACTAGGATGGAGTGAGAGGGTTGGAGCAGAGTGAGGCCAGCTCCTGGGTGCCATTTCTGTGCCACCTTCCTCTGCCTGGCTGCTTCTAGGACAGATGGCGATGCTGGCCATCTCTTGGCATGGCCACAGCACCAGTGCAGCCCCCAGAAGAGGGCTCAGTGGGAGCTCCAGGGCTTGCTCACCCCTAAAAGGGCTGCATCAGGTTGGGGACCCGCAAGTACAGGGGGCTGGTGAAGGCACCACTTGAGCAGGACCTCCAATTTTAAAATTGCATTGGTTCTTTTACTCACAGTCCTGCTGTCTCATGCAAAAAACCCTGTCCACCCTCCCTAACTTCCCTGCATGGCTAATTTCTTCACACCTTCCTGTTTTTGATGTTCCACATGTTTGTCTTGGAGGCTCTCAGCCACCTGCCCATCTCCTTGTCCCCTGTGTTCTCATCTCAGCTGGCTGTGTTAGACTTGTACCTTCTAGAGACTGGGGACAATCCAGGCAGGCAAAGTCATGCAGCTGCTCTTAGTTTGCATGGCAGAACAGAGAAGTGAGAAACAGCAATGCCAGGGTGACTTTCGTTCAAGCAGGGTGATGACTTTGAGCCAGATTTAGCAATGTGACAGAGCCAGGCTGTGTGTCCCAAGCTCTGCCTTGCAGGGACGCTTGCGTGTGCTGACAATGGGGATGCTGCCCCAGCCAAAACCCAGGCAAAACCGAGGTGCTTGCAGATTTTAAATCAACAGAGTCAGAGGCTGGCAGAGATGGCAGAAGCCCATGACTGAACAGGTTATCCACGATGAGCAGGCACACAGGCCTGGGGAGCAGCTGAGCCTCATGGCACCAGGGTTTTGCCCACGTCCCTGGCGTGTGGTTGGTGACAGGTTGGGCTGGATAACCCTGTGGGGCACAGGAGCAGAGCACCCCAAACTCATCCATGGGGAAACTGGGACCTGCACGGCCTGGATCAGATCCCAAGGGAAGGGAGATGAAAGATAAGGAATAGACTGATACCACACACCCCCTCTATATGCTAGGGAAGCAGAGGGGAGCAGAAGCTGCAGCTGACACCGGACAGGATAGAATTCTGTGGTGAAGCAAAACCTGACTTTGCTCATGCCCACACTCTCCCAAGCTCCACATTCTCTCATGTTCATGTGGCTTGGCCAGGATTTTCTGCAGTGCCTGGTAGGACTGGGGTCACAGGCTGTCTGGTCCTCACCGTGTCCTCCAGCTGCATGCCCAGCCTTGGCCCATTTCTTCACCTAGGCATGGCTCAAAGGCAAACAGTGAGCCAAGCAGGGACAAATAAAAAAGGACATGGAGCAATTGTATTTGCATGAGAAGAAAATGAGAAAAAGAAAAAAAAGAATGCCAGAAAGCAGCTTTCTGTGGTTTTCCATAGCCCTTGGTGCCTAACTACCAGTGCAAGAGTGGAACCTTGGAGAGAGTGCTGTGCTGTGCTGTGGATGTAAAGAGAAGATGCAGTTTGGATGCCTTTGGATGTTGATTTCACCAGGCAATGTGTATCATAGCCACATGTAACACATTGCCTGGTGAAATCAACATTTGCTGTTCATCAGGCCCACACTGAGAGCATTACTGGGCCTAACTGAGGGTCTTGTTGAGCTGCTGATGGCAATTTTTAACTGAGCTGGGAAAACTGGAGAAATTCCAAAGGACTGAAAAACAGAAATCACTCCAGTCATTAAGAAAACAAACTGGTTGATCCAGAAAACTCTAGATTACTTATAATACCAGAAAGAAATAACAGAAGAATTATTTTTTTATTCTATCAGCAGAGAATTAAATACTGAAAAATGTATTTACTACTCATATCCTTGTCGCAGGTAAGGAAAGTATTGCTTTGCAAACTTGTCATCACCTTCAGCATGATTATACGTCTGGCTGATTCCGATCAACACCGCTGGCATGACATCCTCACTTGGAAGCTGGCAGGAGATAATGCCAACAGTGTTTGCATAAATCACAGCACTGCTGCAAAGAGGGGTGAACCAATCAGTTCTCCATGTCCACAGATGAAGGAAGCTCAGAGCTGCTGCCAATGGTCTTTCCAGATCTACTTTTTGTGTTGCCCCTGTATTTATTTTATTTGAATATTTATCTTGGTGTGCCAAGCCAGCCTGGTTTGCTCCAGAGGCATCAGTAGGAAAGGTGTGCTTGTTAGCCAGGAGCTGAACTGCTCAAAGCCTTTGCAGTGGGGATCCCCAGGGCTGATTGCAAGGCCCACCGTGATAAGAAATGTTTACTAAGAAAAATCTGGGATAGTGTTAAGCTTGGTAGGGTAGTAACTATTAAAGGGGACAATTAAATCTCAGAGATGGTTAAGAATTGTCTGATTAAAAGGCAACATTACAACAAAATTGCTTGAAGTAATTAATTTGAGAATTTTAGGAAGAGGCAGTCTTGTCACTTTTTACTCTGCACAGCCTCTTGCCACTGTCTCATTTGATCAGCGGCAGTGTGGGATTCATTTCAAGACCATGGATCAAACCCTGGAAGCCAGGGGCGCCTGGCAGGAATCCCTGCACAATCCCAGCAGCTCTTTGCCAACGATTCACTGTTGCAAACCAGCACGTGGGTTCCCCCGGCTGCCTCCCGGGCACCACACCCTCCTCGCAGCAAGCCTTCCCTGCCTTTTTTCCTGAGCAGACCTGTCG